TGCATCGCGGGCCTGATGCGCTTCTATGGGGAGCATTGGATGATTCACATGAAAAACTACACCTCAACAATGAAGTTGCGGGAGGTGGTTTGGCAGCAGCACTGAAGAAGTCTCGGTGCTGGAAAAAAGTAAAAAATGTTAATGCACAATAGGAGGGGCACTAAATCTAACTAGGGCATCATAGCCTTAAAAACACAGGTTCGTATTGCTTCCATTATGTTCTTTAAAAAAAAAAAAAAAAAAGTATATATATACACACACACAGCATTAGAAATGTTTATGTAATGTAACATGACGGTATGTCTGGAAGGTATAATCTATGTGAATTAGTGAAGAAAAAAAAAATTACTTGTGTAAGTCTGGCTAGGTGACATTTAATATAAGAGGACCAAATTAAACATAAGTGAAGTTCTAAATTGTGAAGACAACAACTAAAACACTAGCTAAATATTTTAATATTAATTTGTATTTTATGTATTTGGGCAGTGGAGTGTCCCTTTAATGCTATGTATTTATTTATAAAATGTCTTAGCAGGAAGGACACATTGAGAGTATACTTATTTTCAAGTATGTCCTTGAGAGCACATACAAATGCATTGTTACATATGTAATAGGAGATATATATAGCATAACAATGAGTACACTTGCCTTTGTTTAAGGTGGATAGATGTAGATGTTGTGAAGGATAAGCCAGTTGTATTTTGTATTTAGACAAGCCTTAATATTCATGATCCAATTAATAAGTCTATGTGTATAAGGGTCTGGTATGAAAAGGGGGTGGTAATTCGGGTGACCAATCTCCATGCTGCCATTTAACGATATTCCACTGCCCACCACAACAAGTTAAAAGCCCTCCCCTTGTAACCCCGCCCAGACTTTCTATGGATGTCCAATCAAAGACTGTTGAATGGGTAAGGCAGTGGCTGAGTGACAGGCAACAGAGGGTTGTAGTAAATTAAGTATATTCAAAGCATGGGCTTGTCACCAGTGGGGTACCTCAGGGATCTGTACTTGGACCCATTCTCTTTAATATTTGTATTAGTGATAAAGGTCTTGATAAGGTATGTCTTTTTGCTGATACTAAGATATGTAACAGGGTTGATGTTCAAGGAGTGAGAAGTCAAATGGCAACCGATTTAGGTAAACTAGAAAAATGGTCAGAGCTGTGGCAAATGACATTTAATGGACGTAAAAACCCAAGGGCAGAGTACAGAATATTTGATAGAGTCCTAACCTCAACATCTGAGGAAAGGGATTTAGGGGTGATTATTTCTGATGACTTAAAAGGTAGGCAGACAATGTAATAGAGCAGCAAGAAATGCTAGCAGAATGCTTGGTTGTATAGGGAGAGGTATTAGCAGTAGAAAGAGGGAAGTGCTCATGCCATTGTACAGAACACTGGTGAGATTTCACTTGGAGTATTGTACGCAGTACTGGAGACCGTATCTCCATAAGAATATTGATACTTTAGAAAGAGTTCAGAGAGGGGCTACTAAACTGGTTCAACCTTACAAAGAAAGGTTAAAAGGATCTTAACATGTATAGCTTGGAGCAAAAACGAGACCGGGATAGGATAGGTGTTCATTTAAAATACATAAAAAAAAGGGAATCAACACAGCAAAGAAGGAGACCATTTAAAAAAAGAAAAAAAAAAAAAAAAGAAAAACTACCGCAAGAGAACAGTTTTAAATTAGAGGTGCAAAGGTTTAAAAATATCAGGAAGTATTACTTTACTGAGATGGTAGTGGATGCATGGAATAGCCTTCCGGCTGAAGTGATAGAGGTTAACACAGTAAAGGAGTTTAAGCATGCGTGGGATAGGCCTAAGGCTATCCTAGCTATAAGAGAAGGCCAGGGAATGAAAGTATTTCGAAAACTGGGCAGACTAGATGGGCCAATTGGTTCTTATCTGCCATTGTATTCTATGTTTCTATGAAAGCCAGGAGGTGTAACGAGGTTAATTTATAAAAATGCCAATTCATATGGACATCTGCATGGTTTGTAAAATTAAAAAAAAAAAAAATACATTATAAAGTGCCAACAAATACCCCAGCGCTTTACAATTGGAGTTCAACATAAAGCAAGCTAAAGTACTTTAGGGTTCTGGAGTGTCCCTTTTAGATGGTCTGTGAAGTCACAATTGAAGTGAGATTACAAATGAGCATACAGACAAATGTGGATTTACATTGAAGTAGGTAAGAATCTGTAAAGAAGCTGGAGACAGGAGGAGAAGGACATGTAGGACAAAGAATATACATGATAGGACCACTAACCTTACTAATGTTAAAGAGGGAAGTGCTCATGCCATTATACAGAACACTGGTGAGACCTCACTTGGAGTATTGTACACAGTACTGGAGACCGTATCTTCAGAAGGATATTGATACCTTAGAGAGAGTTCAGAGAAGGGCTACTAAACTGGTTCATGGATTGCAGGATAAAACTTACCAGGAAAGGTTAAAGGATCTTAACATGCATAGCTTGGAGGAAAGACGAGACAGGGGGGATATGATAGAAACATTTAAATACATAAAGGGAATCAACACAGTAAAGGAGGAGTCTATATTTAAAAGAAGAAAAACTACCACAACAAGAGGACAGTCTTAAATTAGAGGGACAAAAGGTTTAAAAATAATATCAGGAAGTATTACTTTACTGAGAGGGTAGTGGATGCATGGAATAGCCTTCCAGCTGAAGTGGTAGAGGTTAACACAGTAAAGGAGTTTAAGCATGCGTGGGATAGGCATAAGGCTATCCTAACTATAAGACAAGGCTAGGGACTAATGAAAGTATTTAGAAAATTGGGCAGACTAGATGGGCCGAATGGTTCTTATCTGCCGTCACATTCTATGTTTCTATGTTTCTATGTTAAAATTAAACTTTAAATAGAAGGTTTATTACGTCTGCAAGTGTTATAAATGGTCCATGTTTATAGGACATTACCCTTTGGCCTTTGAAATGATTCTGCACTATCTGCCCTCCGCCTTGATTTTCAATGTCAAAACACAATGCGATCTTATGGGTACCGTTGATTTAAGTTTTCCAAGGGCTGTTGGAAGACTGAACATTAACATTGCCATACGCAAACAGATTAAACCTTTGCTAAGCAGAATTTGTTCTTTAAATTTGACACCATGTGCTACACAAAACCTACAGAGTTAATGGATTTACCTAAAAACTGTGTGGAACAAATGTAAAAAAAAAAAGAAAGAAAAAAAAAAAAAAAAAAAAAAAGAAAAAACCAACCACACACCTCAGATAAACATCAGTACAATATAAAGCAACTTAGTTTGTCCTTGATTAACTCCTAAGGAACATTGACCAGCATACTGCTCCTTTGAGATTGATAGACTAACAGTAAAAACTTATCCTAGAATTGATGTGCAGTTAACACAAATCCTGTTTAAACTCAGTTATATAAAAAAAAAAAAAAAAAAAAAAAAAAAAAAAAAAAAAAAAAAAAAAAAAAAAAAAAAAAAAAAACACAGATTAAGCAACAAATGTTAATGACCTCCTTGACAACACCGATTTATGCATCTACGCAATTGTAACTTGGGTAGCTAAAAATTACACTCCCAGGTCCAAAACACTGCAGTGTCAGTGTTTGAGCGCTGTCCCACAGCACCATGAGCCCACCCTCATCAGCTGGAGAAGTCATATTAAAGAAGCTTCATAAATGGCATGAGAATGCATTGAGAGACTGAGCTCTGCGGTATCCTGTATCTTGAATAATAATTAACCCTTTGGTATATATATCGCTTAACATACAAGGAAGTGAAACTGTATTATAAAATATTTCCACCTAAGAGGTTGTGCTTTGTGTGCCAGGAATTCTATAGATTTGTAAAACCGTGTTATGAAACTAGAGTAATCAAATCTAGCTCCAAGGTGGAGGGTTTTGTGATAAAAATTAGGCATTTTACAAGGTGTTTAGAATTCCCATCGGGAGAGATTTTGTAAAGTGCAGGACATTTGCACACATTTTATAATTATTTTTTTTTTTTTTAATTTGTCTCTTTGCATCCTGTAATTTGAATGTATACCAGGCAACACATTCAATTTTATGTCATCTTTCCACCAGAAAAGTGTACTGCTTTATCCAAGTTTTGCAAATTTCTTTGGAGAAAAAAAAAATAAAAAAAAACCCCACACAAACTAGTCACTTTTCATGATACTTTGATAGATCACATTTAGAATAAATTTTTTTGTAAATTTTTTTTTTTTTTTTTTTAACAGGATTTTTATTTAAATGTTCATTACTTTTCTTCCTGGTTTATAATTACTTCTCTGTAAACTTCCCACAATTCCAATGAAATATCTACTCCAGCTCCCAGCACTTCTTAAAGCAAAGTTCACTTTTAGCATGATTATTGCTGTTCCCCTACAGTGAAGTGTAAATGGATACATTTCCAAACAAGATCTGCAAAATGTTAATCTAAAAATATGACAAAGTTCTAAATGCCAAAAAAAAAAAAAAAGTTGCCTCACTGTAAATAATTCACAAATGGAGGTTCTGTAAAGCAGAGTTCTGTAATAGTGGAGTGCTCACAGCCTTTGTTCGGGGGGGGCGGGAGGGGGCTAGGCCTCTAACATGGTGTTGAACAACCATCACTTTGTTGTTTGCCAGCAATTGCAGAACACATGTATGAGATTTAACATGATATTCACTCACTCAAGTGAGAACTGCCTTTAAAATCTAAAAGTGAATTTCCAAATTAAGACCAAAATGGTAAAACTGGAAAGATTTTCAGCGATGCTTCCAGGTCAATGATTTGGCCTTAAAATCTAAATTTCATTTTGAATTCTTGACAATTCTATCTTTGATTATCCCAATGGCATCAAAGATCAAGTTCGCAAAATTAAACAAACTGGGTGGAAGGTTATCCAAAAGGTTACCAATCAATGAAAATTAGTCCATAGTCTAGAAGATAACCTCTGAGCCTTTCAAAAGCACATAATTAAACATTCAACATGTAGATCTGTAATAAAAATCAACAAAATACAATGCAACCAATGGATATTTTATTACATTTTAATACAAGTGAAATGAATAGATCTTAACTGCTATAAAGCAATATATAATGAATAAATAATATGCATGGAAATCCTTGTCTACCGTTACATAACACTGGCTAGTATTTAGAATACTTAAAAATAAATCCAGTGACATTTAGACAAATGTCCATAAAAATGCTGTATTTTCTTCCCTTGTATGAAATTGTTCAAGTATAAAAAGCCATTACAGTGTAAAATATTCAACTTTTAAGTCAAGAATAAAAATTGCCAAGTATTGCAGTTTTACAAGTCATTGTATTTGTATAAAGCAGCACTTCTCTAATAAAAAGAAAAAAAAATATTACTCTACATACAAATGAAATGTATAGTATACTGCTTTAAGAGGTCATTAGAAAAAACACCATGGCATAAATGTGCTGCTCATGTAAAATCCTAAGTGTTAAGGTAGGGATATACAGTGCACATACAGAATTTAAATAAATCCAAGTCAATATTTTAGTTCAATAGGTTGCTATTTAATTTACTAAATCTAAACTTACTTAAATAATTTATAACATGAGATGAATACATAGTGTGTTGCATCTAAAGTTCCCTTCTTCAGAGCACACTGTAGTAAAACTTTCAAAATAAATAAATACATTTCTTTTCAGTAACATTACAGTTAAGGCACAGTAAAGACCAGTTAACCCTTGAAGAACTGCAACTCAAATTCATGTACTGCATAATTAATCGATTCTTCTATTTAAATACTTTGAAAGGAAAATAGAAAAAGGAAAGAAAAGAAAGGAGAGGAAAATTCAAGTTTAGGGGAAACTAATACAAAAGTTCTCCTTTAATGCCCAAATTAGGGACATGTGTTCATAGGTATTGGCTAACAGTTCTTAAAGGGTTAACCATAGCATGTATCTTTCCCCTGGTTATTCACAAGCTATGAATAGGTATAATAAAATAGAAGGCTGTTGTAGTAAGGGGCTGATCCTATTTCAGAATCAGAATAGCTGACACCAGCAATTATAGTTTCCCAAAAGCGAAACAGGATGGGGAAAGGGATTACAATGTGACAAGCTCATCAAGTAAGCACAAGTGATGTGTTCTTTCCAGAACGGTCTGTGTTATTGATTGTCTGTACAGCTGTTGCACCCGTTAATTCCACATCACTTGCTCCACAGTTCCACTCATCTAGAGTACAGATGAGAAAAAATACACTTTGGTGCCGCCTGTCCATCATGTGACCAGTGGGCTATGTGCCTCCAATAGGTCAGTGTTACCTTGTTTCTCACCAACATAAGATTAATTTAGTCATAATAAGGAGACATGACAATCTGCCTTAAAGATTACTTCATTTGGGCTACATATTGCTAACCAATATCCCTGGTTTAAACATCGTAAAATAAAGCAATGAAAAAAAAAAAAAAAGTAGTGTGTACCCCCTCCCAGCTTAGCAAAAGGCAGTTTCTTTCCCTGATATAGAAATGTCTGTATAGATATCAAGTCTGACTGTTTCAGTAACACACGCCATGTTAGTTTCTTCTTGATATATGCCTGAAACACCCTTCTAATATTACTCTGATGTGTACTACATAGAGAAGCTGGAATAAAAGTTCTTGGGTTTTTTTCCCCTCTTTGAAACCATAGCTTGTTTTTTTCCTTCACACCATTTAGCCTAATTCGGTATTGTCTCGTGTATTGAAACTGGAAGGCTGAAAACACGAAGGAAAAAAAAAATAAAAGAAATTGATAACTTCATAGTTTAAGCATTACTGCATGCGGTCAGCCTGCAGCTGCTGTGGCTGGTATTGGCCAAAGGCCGCAGCTGCTGCAGCAGCAGTTCCAGGTGCTGCAGAGGCAAGTGGCTGTTGAACTGCATAGCCATAACCTGCAGTGGTAACATATCCGGTTGCAGCTGGGGAGGCAGCATATGGGTATTGATCATAGGCAGCTGCAGCAGCAGCCGAGTACTGTGCGTAGGCGGCTCCGGTGTAATCAATGTACGGACTTGTAGAGGCAGCGGCAGCTGCTGGCTGGACATGTGGAATCATAACTCCCGGCTGCACAAACGCATGTGGATAAACGTAATGTGCAGGAATTCTGTAGGAAGGAAAGAAAACAGAAAAACAAGGAGTAAGACATATGAACAAAATTTCAAACAGTTAACCCAGTTTATTATATGTATAGGGTTGCCACAATATCAAGACTACGGAAGACCTAATAAAAATATATATAAAATACTAAACTATGAAAAGTAACCTGCATATGAATTACTTGCATATTATTCATGCTTATACTGAAGATAAGATTTTCCAAAAGGTTTAGTTCATTTTATATTAGAAGATGGTTGTCAACATCTGCCTAGTTTACTAAAGAATAGTTAAGTGCAGTGTGATAACCTGACCCACTAACCCCATTGGATTCCATGTATTAAAAAGTGTGATAAATTATATAGGCATCATAATTTTCTTGAATATCATGGCAACCCCTACAAGAATTACTCCACAGACTCGGCACACATTAATCTCTGCAACTTAAGTCACCCTTAATATAAAACTAGAAATGCAGGCGGCAAAACTTATAAAGTGGTGGAAGGCACAGCAGAGTCACACATTCAAAAACAGTGCAAAACACATGAGGCTGTAGTGTTGAAGCTTTACAGATGCTATGCCACACCATAGCATTAGGTCTAAAACAAAAAAAAATAAAGTGTGCATCACACGGTTACAAGGATGAAAAAATAAAATTTAAATGAAAACTTATATCAAATGGTTTTAAATACCAGTCAACTAAACTTCCAGTTTCGACTCAGCAGGATTGCTTCTCAGCCAAACATGTAAAAGTATTTGAGGGCGTTTTAAAAAGACCTAGAGTTAGACAAAGATACCTATGTAGTTCATTGCATAGACAATAGAGCCATTAAACATGGGATTGGGCTCATTTGTATGACACCCTTCCTAAAACCAAGAAAAAAAAAAAAAATAGAAAAAAAAATATATATCTCTCGGTCTCTCTCCAAGATGTGTCCATCTGAATTGGAGAAATCAGGTTTCTGGCCTGATTTATTAATAAGACATGCAATAGCGCCTCACTGATTAAATTGTTTATAGAGAGAGTCCTCACAATATTTGAGATGGCAGGATGAAAATACATGTATGTCATGAAATCATTCACACAAATTGTCTGGGTGATAAGTTTTAGGTCATTGATAAACTTTGATTTACGAAATAAAAAAAAAAAAAAAATAAAAAAGCTTAATAAGTTAATTTATGCCTATATTAAGCATTGTTCAGGTTTCCATTGCCTATATTGTAAACTGCTGAGTGTGGGGGACAACACACCAAAAGTCACACACTCAGAGAACGATATGTGCACAAACTGTCATGCCCATCATGTTACACCTATGTGTTAAAATGAAAAACTTGTAGCCAGTAGGCCACTCCGCGCCAAAGGGGCTGATTACAAGACCACCCTTTAAGAAGCAAGCCATATACTCTGGATACCACAGACTCCTCCAAACTCCAGTTGCACTTAAAGTGATTGACAGGTCGAGCTGCATTTGGACTATTTTTGACCTGACACATGAGAAGGCCCAAGAGTGCTGAATGTCTTTATATGGTTAAAGTGAACCATGATTCATCATGAAGGGCAAATATGTAACCAAGATAAACTGTGTCCACATTCAAAATAAATATATATATATATTTATTTATTTATTTTTTCTCCTCTCCTACAAAACAAAAAAAAAACAAAAAAAAAAAACAAACATGCAAACCTTAAAACTGTTATAGTATTTTAACAGATCTACTAAGTTTGCTATACACAACACAAACAAGAGCCATAGGAACACAGACACTGCATTTCCAGGGTACATGAGGTCATTAGAACTATAAAATTAAAAAGCCCCATCACAAGTAATTTACCTCTTTGAACAAGTTTGGATTTTACTTCTAGATTCCAAAAGTTTAAAATAGCAACAACCAAATAAGACAAGTTACTATTTGTGTAAGTTTTGTTGCAGTCTAAAAACATAAGGCCATGAGAGATGTCTGTGATGAGACCATTAACCATATGTGCACACAAAATAGATCAGACAGTGTTTTTCCACCAATGTGAGAACTAATCAGAAACCTAAATTAATTTTTAGTCCACAATAAAATTTGAAAGTCACACTACAGTGAGTAACAGGCTTAAAAATACACACACAAAAAAAAAAAAAAAAAAAGTATATATATTCAAATGTGTTCTTTCAACTTGCAAACTACCTAAATGTATGAATCAGCTAGTTCATCAGTAAGATAAGAGCACTAATGAAGATAGACGGTTCTAATTATAGAGTTTTATACTAATGCAGCACCTCAAATTGAAAATATTTTATTTGATTCAATATCAAATTGGTAGAGATTTCTCCAGAGAAATATTTACAGCTAGACATTGGGTTTTGCGACAGTTATGGTCTAGTGAAAACCGCCATGTCACATGTTTTACAGTAAATATGTATGCAGTTTACAGATTAGCCAGTGGGGATGTACCCTAAATTGGTAGTATCACCGTATTTTTACTAGAATACTGCACTTTGAGATAGAATACCTTTAGCACAATGAAGAGATGGGAAAAAGGGTAGTTAGAAAGCCTGAGGAGCTTATTAAAATAAATGGAAATCCATTGTGAATAGCATGCAAGCTGAAGAGACAACACAAAATGGCACACCAAAATGTATCAAGTCACTACAACGTGTTAAAGTCACAAGCGCTATTAAAAAAAAAAAAAAAAAAAAAAAAAAAAAAAAAAAAAAGATCCACATGGCAAAAGTCACTCCTCAAATACACCCACAATTTTTTTTTATTTTTTCAAAAAGAAAGAAATCCAAACAAAAAAAAAAAAAAAAAAAAAAAAAAAAAAAAAAAAAAAAAAAAAAAAACTCAAGGCTCCCTCCCAACACCCAAAGCCACAATTAGGGGTCACTACAGCTTGTCACCAACAAAATATAAAACCACGCAGTTTAGCTATGAAAACCACTTCATTACTGTAAAAATAAAAAATGCACACAGGTCTAGGAGCTAGAAAGAACAAAATAAAAACCGAACATACATGCATCTTTAATCACCATTTAGCTTGTTTTCTGAGTCTACTGGTAAGATTAATTCCAAACAGAACTACTCCATCTTATCAAATCCTTGTCAGTTATCTTAACTGTAAACGACCCCTGTCAGATTAGAAAGAGATAGATAACATTGAGTCACACCAGAAATGGTAGGGGTACACCATGATCCACACAGTGTCCTTCGCAGGGACATCAAGTAATGTGAAGATACTGAGCTATTGTAAGATGTGTCATAAAGTGCCAATAAAAGGGGCAACTATCAATGTACTAAGGAAGATTGAAGGGGCTAGCCACCATAAGAACTGTATAAAGATTAGATATTGGGATTTAGTCAAGTCTGGTTCTGTTGATACAGAGGGCCAGTTGACAGTGTTTCACAGTAGGGAATGCACACAAAAACCCATAATACATCATTTTTAAAGAGTAAAAGTTCACTTGGACCTGGAAACAAGATCACCTGCATGATATATTAGTCATTTCTAAAGTTAGACAAATTAGAAGTTGTTTACGTGTACCCCCCCACCCCCCTCCATAGTATACTATTAGAAATATCAAGGACGTGCACATTGATTACACAATGCAGCTGTACATCACATATTTGCAGTAAGAGTAGAGAGCATAGGGTTCATAAATACTTACCCAAAAGGCCTTTGGATAAGTGCTGGGTGAATTTGTTGTACTCCAAATGCAAAACCTACAAAAAACAAAAACAAAGATATGCAAGGATTTATTTTGGTTCCCTGATGTTTAGCTATATACTTTGTTTAATCTTTTATGTGCGATTCTAACACACTGTCCCAGTAAGCCCAAGCAGTAGTTCTATGTACTCTTACGTGAGCAGCTTTGTTAATGGCATTTCTGTATACAGGCTATACCAGAGGCAGGTTTTATAAGCCCAATGGCAACAAATTGGTGCTATACAAGTGGCAATACAGCCATGGACAGTCTTACATTAGACTGCTATGAAGATCTTGTAAATGACGACGCTGTATTCACAGGAGATACACCATTACAGAGAATCTTGCACCGAATTATAACTTTAAAGGGTGATGGTCTCAGCCAACATGGTATATAGAAATCATACAAAGTTAGTATAACACTTATGTTGGGGGGAGGGGGCTAGGAAAGGAGTTCACATGCAACTCGTGTACCTGGTTGCATTATTCGTGGCTTTGCTCCCAGATATGCAAGATTCACGTTAGCTTTTCTGCCGTCAATGATTGGATTTGGGTCTTTGCAAGCCCTCTCAGCAGCACTCCTATCAGCCATGGTGACCTGCAGATTAAACACAGATTATTAATCCATATTTGCACAATTTTTAATGTTTAAAAATTTGTGTTCTACACAGCGAGCAATATCAAAACTTCTTGAGTTTAAAGATTTTCCATGAGAACGATCACACATATGAGCTGAGCCCTGGCAGCTCTGTTACACATCTCTGCTTTCTGGAACACTGTACATTAGCCAGCAATACTGTTAAATCCATAGCTCAGATATACAATGGTTTTATTTTGCCAATGTTTAGATGGTGTAACCTTATGAAATGAAAGGATTTAACGCTCACTGAAAACATGAGAAGACAAGATTCCTGCATATATAGGGATATGAACCATGGATGTAACTATATTAAAAAAATAAAAATGTTAAAAAATAAGCAGAGAGCTCTGGAATTAAGATAAAAGAAAACCATTATTTGTGAATACATGAATTAAATTTTTTTTTGTCTGGAAGCCAAAAACCACACTATAGTACAACACACCCGAGAGTTGTAAAAAAATGTTTAAAATATATATTTTTTTCAAATTAGGCTGAAGAATAAACTGTACATAAAGCAGAGGCAGACAGATTTTAAAGTGAGTCTATAGCACGGTTATATCAATGTTTTAAGGTTGAGGAAGATTTGAACTTGTACAGCAGTTCAAAGTTACCTTATCAAATGAAAGGCTCACAGGAGGAGTCTCAGGTAATGGATTGGGTCCACGAGCATGCAGAGAGGCAGGAGTTTCCCTGTTATTGTTGTAAGCAGCTCCTGGGATATGCAAGTGAGGGGGTGGGGGATTCACGCTGGGCTGCTTTCCATATTCTACGACTAGTTTCTGTTAGACCTGGGGCTGTTCTCAGGACTGATCCACCTGCTTTCTCCCTAGCCTCATCAAGCCATATCCCGGATTTAGTATAGAGACCAGTTGGTCTCACGTGACCCTGTACCCATACAGGTAGCAGTTTATTTTAACCCTTACACTGCCTCTTGCTATATGCAACGTGAAAGCCCAACATAAAATGGAGCCATTGATTTCCTCGGCAATATTATTTTAGCCAACCCCGCAGCTGACTCCCTAAAAAGTTACTTTGAGGCACACTTTTTCCTTTTTAAAAACATTATTTTACTAAAATGAAACAAAACCCAAACCTGCTTACAATTTCGACATCAAGTCTAGCTTTAATGCAAATACATTTTTTTTTAATAAACAGCCGTATGTTATCACACAGGTTAGAACAGCCTGCACCTTACTAGGATTTCAGTTTAACAAGTGTAATGTTAAATCGCAAACTCAAACTGCTTGCAGTTTAACTTACACGAGCTCAGGTTTTTCTTTTTATCAGCAACTGTATATGACATTCAGAAACGCAAGAAATTAAACAAGGTAAGCCCTACGCAGTGAAGGACAGCTCCGGCGGTCAAAGCGTTAACCTAACAGACTCCGGACACTTCCTAGTTACAGAGTAGCGTCTGTTCGTTCTAGAATGAGAATCTCTAAAATAAACTCCCACACTGGAAGAACAAGTGAAAGAAAGGAAAGCTGGGAAGGATCATTAGCTGCTAAAGGGTTAGTGAGTACAGATGGGCTTAGTAAACAGAATTAGTTTATATATAGACTACTGCTGCATTCCCAAAACACTGCCTACCTCATGGAAGAATAAGCCAAGGAATATAGATTTTAAAAGAACAACTTACAAAGCCATAGCCCCTGGACTTGCCAGTCTGTCTGTCGGTGATAACTACAGCCTCCTCTATGTCCCCAAACACCTCGAAGTACTTCCTGAGGCTGGAGTCCGTGGTGTGATAGGGCAGCCCCCCAACGAAGATCTTGGTGTAGGTGGTGTCCTTCTGGGTGGTGTGCATGTTCACAGAGAGGTGTGACCCCGGGCCAGGCTCCTGCACCGCTCACACTCACCTCGCAGTCCCCCACCGAGAGTAGGGCAGACACATACAGAGAGCCCCACTGCTGGGTCTGGATCAGGACAGCCGGGGGAGGAGGAGAGGCTGTGGAGGTGCTGTGAGGTAGATGGCTGGCTGGGATGGTGGGATGGACTGTGACCCGTCCAATGCTGCCCGCTGACTGCTCTGCTCCCTCTTGTCTTTGCGTTAAGAGTGTGGCTGGAGACTCCGCCCTCTCAGGGGGCGGGATGAGGCGATTGGCTGCCGTGGTACCTGCTTGCCAGTCGCCCAGGCGAACAGCTGCTCCGAACAGCTGGAGACCTGACCCCCCCTCCTCCACACCCCCCTCCTCCCCCGGGCAGTGCGCTCTGGTTTCCCGCAGCGCGTGTGGGGAGACGTTGCGGCCGCTGGAGCTCTCTGTGTGAGGCACTAACACTCCTCCCCTCCTCCCAAACTAGAGCTAACCTCACCTCACTGACTGACTGGGCGGGAGGGGAGCTGGGACTTCATGGGCTTTTTATACTCGGCATCCCACGTATCGGCATGTGAAATGGGCCCATACTACCAGACCATGCCACACTAATGGAGGGCAAACCCAGCTAGTACTTCAGTAAAACATTAGTAAACTATTACTCCTTGTTAGTCATACACTCTGGGAACGAAAACACCCTGCTTACCGAAAAGTCTACATACTTAACAGGTTGCTTTCCTCTCTAACATTCTGTCTACCTACCTAATATTCTACCTGCTTATCATTCTCTCTATCTACAAAACATTCTATATACCTGTCTAACATTCTGTCTACCTACCTAATATTCTATCTGCTTATCATTCTCTCTATCTACATAACATTCTATATACCTGTCTAACATTCTGTCTACCTACCTAATATTCTACCTGCTTATCATTCTCTCTATCTACATTATATTCTATATACCTGTCTAACATTCTGTCTACCTACCTAATATTCTATCTGCCCATCATTCTCTCTATCTACATTATATTCTATATACCCATCTAACATTCTGTCTACCTACCTAATATTCTACGTGCTTATCATTCTCTCTAGCTACATTATATTCTATATACCCATCTAACATTCTGTCTACCTAGCTAATATTCTACCTGCTTAGCATTCTCTCTATCTACATAATATTCTATATACCTGTCTAACATTCTGTCTACCTAGCTAATATTCTACCTGCTTAGCATTCTCTCTATCTACATAATATTCTATATAGCTGTCTAACATTCTGTCTACCTACCTAATATTCTACCTGTTTATCATTCTCTCTATCTACATAATATTCTATATACCTGTCTAACATTCTGTCTACCTATCTAATATTCTATCTGCTTAGCATTCTCTCTATCTACATAATATTCTATATACCTGTCTAACATTCTGTCTACCTACCTAATATTCTATCTGCTTATCATTCTCTCTATCTACATAATATTCTATATACCTGTCTAACATTCTGTCTACCTACCTAATATTCTACCTGCTTATCATTCTCTCTATCTACATTATATTCTATATACCTGTCTAACATTCTGTCTACCTACCTAATATTCTACCTGCTTATAATTCTCTCTATCTACATTATATTCTATATACCTCTCTAACATTCTGTCTACCTACCTAATATTCTATCTGCCCATCATTCTCTCTATCTACATTATATTCTATATACCCATCTAACATTCTGTCTACCTACCTAATATTCTACGTGCTTATCATTCTCTCTAGCTACATTATATTCTATATACCCATCTAACATTCTGTCTACCTAGCTAATATTCTACCTGCTTAGCATTCTCTCTATCTACATAATATTCTATATACCTGTCTAACATTCTGTCTACCTAGCTAATATTCTACCTGCTTAGCATTCTCTCTATCTACATAATATTCTATATAGCTGTCTAACATTCTGTCTACCTACCTAATATTCTACCTGTTTATCATTCTCTCTATCTACATAATATTCTATATACCTGTCTAACATTCTGTCTACCTATCTAATATTCTATCTGCTTATCATTCTCTCTAGCTACATTATATTCTATATACCCATCTAACATTCTGTCTACCTAGCTAATATTCTACCTGCTTAGCATTCTCTCTATCTACATAATATTCTATATACCTGTCTAACATTCTGTCTACCTACCTAATATTCTACCTGCTTAGCATTCTCTCTATCTACATTATATTCTATATACCTGTCTAACATTCTGTCTACCTACCTAATATTCTATCTGCCCATCATTCTCTCTATCTACATTATATTCTATATACCCATCTAACATTCTGTCTACCTAGCTAATATTCTACCTGCTTAGCATTCTCTCTATCTACATAATATTCTATATACCTGTCTAACATTCTGTCTACCTAGCTAATATTCTACCTGCTTAGCATTCTCTCTATCTACATAATATTCTATATACCTGTCTAACATTCTGTCTACCTACCTAATATTCTACCTGTTTATCATTCTCTCTATCTACATAATATTCTATATACCTGTCTAACATTCTGTCTACCTAGCTAATATTCTACCTGCTTAGCATTCTCTCTATCTACATAATATTCCATATACCTGTCTAACATTCTGTCTACCTACCTAATATTCTACCTGCTTATCATTCTCTCTATCTACATAACATTCTATATACCTGTCTAACATTCTGTCTACCTACCTAATATTCTACCTGCTTATCATTCTCTCTATCTACATTATATTCTATATACCTGTCTAACATTCTGTCTACCTACCTAATATTCTACCTGCTTATAATTCTCTCTATCTACATTATATTCTATATACCTCTCTAACATTCTGTCTACCTACCTAATATTCTATCTGCCCATCATTCTCTCTATCTACATTATATTCTATATACCCATCTAACATTCTGTCTACCTACCTAATATTCTACGTGCTTATCATTCTCTCTAGCTACATTATATTCTATATACCCATCTAACATTCTGTCTACCTAGCTAATATTCTACCTGCTTAGCATTCTCTCTATCTACATAATATTCTATATACCTGTCTAACATTCTGTCTACCTAGCTAATATTCTACCTGCTTAGCATTCTCTCTATCTACATAATATTCTATATAGCTGTCTAACATTCTGTCTACCTACCTAATATTCTACCTGTTTATCATTCTCTCTATCTACATAATATTCTATATACCTGTCTAACATTCTGTCTACCTATCTAATATTCTATCTGCTTATCATTCTCTCTAGCTACATTATATTCTATATACCCATCTAACATTCTGTACCTAGCTAATATTCTACCTGCTAATATTCTACCTGCTTAGCATTCTCTCTATCTACATAATATTCTATATACCTGTCTAACATTCTGTCTACCTACCTAATATTCTACCTGCTTAGCATTCTCTCTATCTACATTATATTCTATATACCTGTCTAACATTCTGTCTACCTACCTAATATTCTATCTGCCCATCATTCTCTCTATCTACATTATATTCTATATACCCATAACATTCTGTCTACCTAGCTAATATTCTACCTGCTTAGCATTCTCTCTATCTACATAATATTCTATATACCTGTCTAACATTCTGTCTACCTAGCTAATATTCTACCTGCTTAGCATTCTCTCTATCTACATAATATTCTATATACCTGTCTAACATTCTGTCTACCTACCTAATATTCTACCTGCTTATCATTCTCTCTATCTACATAATATTCTATATACCTGTCTAACATTCTGTCTACCTAGCTAATATTCTACCTGCTTAGCATTCTCTCTATCTACATATATTCTATATACCTGTCTAACATTCTGTCTACCTACCTAATATTCTACCTGTTTATCATTCTCTCTATCTACATTAATATTCTATATACCCATCTAACATTCTGTCTACCTAGCTAATATTCTACCTGCTTAGCATTCTCTCTATCTACATAATATTCTATATACCTGTCTAACATTCTGTCTACCTAGCTAATATTCTACCTGCTTAGCATTCTCTCTATCTACATAATATTCTATATACCTGTCTAACATACTGTCTACGTACCTAATATTCTACCTGCTTCTCATTCTCTCTGTATACATTATATTCTATATACCTGTCTAACATTCTGTCTACCTACCTAATATTCTACCTGTTTATCATTCTCTCTATCTACATAATATTCTATATACCTGTCTAACATTCTGTCTACCTATCTAATATTCTATCTGCTTATCATTCTCTCTAGCTACATTATATTCTATATACCCATCTAACATTCTGTCTACCTAGCTAATATTCTACCTGCTTAGCATTCTCTCTATCTACATAATATTCTATATACCCGTCTAACATTCTGTCTACCTACCTAATATTCTATCTGCTTATCATTCTCTCTAGCTACATAATATTCTATATACCTGTTTAACATACTGTCTACCTACCTAATATTCTACCTGCTTATCATTCTCTCTGTATACATTATATTCTATATACCTGTCTAACATTCTGTCTACCTATTTGACAGCCTATCTGTCTGCCTAACATTACATGCCTTACTTTCTGTCTACCTGTCTAAAGTTCTGTCTACCATTATTTGTATCTGTTGTCTGTCTGTCATCTGAGCAGGGACTTTCTTATAAATTGCAACCTAACATGTATTTCTCACATTTACTAATATTTAATCCAGTTGAACTTTAGTCATTTCACCCAAATGTGCACATCTAATTCTGCACGACACAGTGTCTGCTTTTTAAATCAGCAATTTTCAAATGCTAATCCTGTGTAATAATGTAGGATTTGCATATTTATTATACACCAAATTCACACTGATCTAGCCTGGCATATTGCAAATGAGCAAAATATATTCACCTGCTTTTGTAAACGGAAATATTTGCCCACTGGCAGAATAAGCTGGCTGCAAGCAAAGGGTTAAAGTATTAAAACAAAATAATATTGATTTTACTATTCAAATGCCCCCGGATGACACCATATTATTTTTAATCATTTTTTAAAATACATTTTACAACCTTAAAACACTACTGCTGTGGAGTAGTTTTTTTGTTTCAGTTTTCCTTTCATGTGCCCCTTTTATCATAATGATTATATGCCCTCCTCCTACTTACCTCTATTTATATGTATTATCTTTTTCTTCATATTCTTCATATTATCTTTTCTTAATATTTGGGACTAGCCATTTT